GACGCGACACTTGAACGCGTTTCGTAATAATTTATTACATTTTCAAAGACTTTAGTTTTTACACACACAACTATAACCTGCAAACACTAAACAGATTTCTTACTATGCTATAATTTAAACGGCTTTTCATTTTATATACCTGCATTTGGGTGAGGTGATATGTTACAACAGTTTTAGATGAGGTGAAAACAAACTTTCAACACAAGATAGAACACGAAATATTGCGTTATATTGGGTAAAGTTAGAGGGTAAGAATGGAAGTAAATGCAAAGGGCCTATTGGCCCATATTTCTTGATGCTTATATATTGGTGCGGAGTCTTGAAGTGGGTAGAATATAGTTGTGCATTAATTGGCTGTTGATTGCTGGTGTTGACTTCTTAATGTGTAGTGCCTCGCAGATATCAAGCCACCTCTGAAGAGACAACTAACACAACACCTATAGCCCCTATTAGACTATTTTACAGGAACTTCTTTTCCACAGCTCATAAAACGGAGGAAAGGGTCCTGAAAGATATTGTTAATAGAAACGTTATCCCTATAGACAAAAATCAGAAGATACAACTGACGATTTACTATAAAACCAGAAAAACGGCCAGCCTACTCATGAGAAACTCTCCAGACACAAAGCAGAACGCTTTAAAAGAGACCAACGTCGTCTATGCCTTCAAATGCCCTCTTGGGGACTGTAAGCTCCAAAAAACCCAGTATATAGGCAAGACAACAACATCTCTTTCTAGGCGTTTAACAATGCATAAGCAACAGGGCTCCATTAAGGAACATATAATCTCTTCCCACAACCAAACCATCGCCAGAGAAATCCTAGTAAACGACACAGAAATCATCGATAGATACAGCGATAGCAGGCGGCTTGACGTTTGCGAGGCACTACACATTAAGAAGTCAACACCAGCAATCAACAGCCAATTAATGCACAACTATATTCTACCCACCTCAAGACTCCGCTCCAATATAGAAGCATCAAGAAATATGGACCAATAGGCTTTCTACAATCACTTCTATTCAATACCCATTGTTTCGTGTTCTGTCTTGTGTTGATGAATTTAATACCCTATTAATACCACCTCACCCCATCCACCTCACTCAAATGTAGATATTAACAAATCGGAGATGTGTAAGTTCTATTCAGTTGTGTATGTGTAAACTAAAGTCTTTGAAAATGTAATAAGTTTTACGAAACGCGCTCAAGTGTCGCGTCAGACTAGAAATAAAAAATTAATTTTGGAGAATTGATTTTTGAATTACCACCAACAGTGAAAGGAAATGTACGAAAGATCGAGAAAATTCGTGTTAGAATTATTAATCTTTCTTTTTTGGTCATATTTAATAATATATATGCTTTCATATATATATATATTGAAATGCTTTCAATCTGGTTAGAAGGGATGCAGTACTCAGTGCAGTTCAGTGCCTTTTTCTTCCCTCTACCCGTTTGTAAACTCATGCTACAGCAAGAATCTAACTCTGCTTTTCGGGGAACATGAAATTGAATCACAAGAAGGTGTCCAACAGGGTGAGCCCCTTGCTCCTTTTCTTTTCTGCCTGGTTATCAAGGAAGTCGCCGATAACCTGTCCAGTGAGCTCAACATTTGGTTTTTGGACGATGGTTCTCTAGCCGGCTCCCCAGCCTCACTCTTGGACGACATAAGAATAATTCAGGAGCAAGGAGCAAGCCTAGGCCTCACCCTGAACCTTTCCAAGTGCGAAATAACCTCCACCAACCAGCACATAATAGAGCAAATAAAGGTTGTTCTGCCTGACATTCATTCAACCAACCCTGAGGACAGGGCACTCCTAGGTGCTCCTCTTGGAAGGAATGCCATCGACGAGGTCCTTGATAAGAAGATTACTGACCTGAAGAGGATGAACGAGAGGATTGAAGACATCGATGCTCATGATGCACTTTACCTCATCACCAGATGCTTGTCCCCCCCCAGGCTGACCTACTTTCTAAGATGTTCGCCATCTTTCAACAATATTACATTAGAAGAGCACGACAGCTTGCTGAAATCAACACTAGAAAAAACCCTCAATCTTTCCCTCAACGACTCACAGTGGAAACAGGCCTCCCTTACTGTCAGACTCGGGGGCCTTGGCGTGCGCACAGCAACACAAAATGCTGTACCAGCGTTCCTGTCCTCTTCAGTGGGGTCTGACAACTTGGTGAAGGAAATCCTACCTGAGCACCTAGTTCAACAGGCAGGGGTACACGATCCCAGCTTCACAGACTGCACAACCAAATGCGGCTCTCTCGCACGACCAGCACCCCAACCACCGCCTTCTGAAGCCCATAAGCAATCCAGCTGGGATCGCCCCATTGCCGACCAAGAAGCTGCGACTTTGCTAGAAGCTGCGACAACACCACATGACACTGCCCGACTTAGAGCTGTAGCAGGTCCTTATGCAGGTGATTTCCTATTAGCAACCCCAATGTCAGCAACCGGCACCCGTCTCACACCGCAGGCCCTCCGAATTGTGGTGGCTCTCCGCCTCGCTGCCCCAATCCACACCGAATACAGGTGTATTTGCAGCGAGGCAAACGCCGGCAGATACGGACGGCATGGCCTTCTCTGCCAAAGGACAAGAGGATGGTATGCAAGACACGGCGAGGTCAATGACATTATTAAGAGAAGCCTTACCACAGCCGGTTGTCCAGCAGAAAGAGAGCCCCGTTACCTAATGTCCCGCAACTCTGATGAGCCTGTCGGTCGCCCAGACGGAATCACGATGAACCCCTGGAAGAATGGTAGACAGTTGGTGTGGGACTACACTTGCGTTTCAACTTTAGCCAATACCTATGTTGACTTCAGTGCTACACAAGCAGGAGGATTTACCAATCACCGGGAAGCGGCCAAGTCACGTAAATACAGAGACCTTGAGCACCACTACAATTTTGTCCCCATTGCCTCAGAGACACTTGGTGCCTGAGGTAAAAGTGCTGCTAGCTTTTTGAAGGAGTTGGGGTCTAAGCTAATAGAAACAACTACAGACCCTAGAGCTGCCAGTTTTCTTTTTCAGCGCCTTAGTGTGGCAATCCAGAGAGGAAATTCTCACTGCATCCATGGTTCCTGCCCGCCATCTGAGGAGCTGGAGGAGCTGTTCAACTTGTGACAAGCAGCCTTGCACCCTGCATGTTATCAATATTGCAACTTTTTTTGTGTAATGACATTTTCAAATAAAGTTAGATAAAAATATATACACATACCAAAAGAATAGGGGTGGTAGGAGAAGAAAATATCAAAGTGTTCAGTGAGGATCCACAAGGTCTTCTCTGAGTACTCTTTATTTTCTTCACCGAGGCTATGGGTTCCTACACTTGCACCAGAGGTGGTACCCCTTCTAGGTTTATATATATATATATATATATATATATATATATATATATATATATATATATATATATATATATATATATATATATGCCATTACCATCTCTTTTAAGGGTCGGAGCGGGTGGTGGAGAGGGTTAAGGCGTACCTGTTATGCCAGTTGCTGGAAGGCTTCTGTGCTGGCTAGGGTTCGAGTCTCCTGGTGGGAAAGTGTTCTAAAGTTGTATACTTAACTCTCGTGTTTAGGAGAGTTGTGCCTTAAGCAGAGACACTGTGTCTTCCCATATTAACAGGGACTTGATGAAATTAACGTCTAAATGACCCCTCACTTGCTCTGGTGCTCTTGGGAGGTGTTGATCTTTGGGGTATTTAAATACTCCGAAATTACCATCTCTTTTAAGGGTCTGAGCGGGTGGTGGAGAGGGTTAAGGCGTACCTGTTATGCCAGTTGCTGGAAGGCTTCTGTGCTGGCTAGGGTTCGAGTCTCCTGGTGGGAAAGTGTTCTAAAGTTGTATACTTAACTCTCGTGTTTAGGAGAGTTGTGCCTTAAGCAGAGACACTGTGTCTTCCCATATTAACAGGGACTTGATGAAATTAACGTCTAAATGACCCCTCACTTGCTCTGGTGCTCTTGGGAGGTGTTGATCTTTGGGGTATTTAAATACTCCGAAATTACCATCTCTTTTAAGGGTCTGAGCGGGTGGTGGAGAGGGTTAAGGCGTACCTGTTATGCCAGTTGCTGGAAGGCTTCTGTGCTGGCTAGGGTTCGAGTCTCCTGGTGGGAAAGTGTTCTAAAGTTGTACATATATATATATATATATATATATATATATATATATATATATATATATATATATATATATATATATATATATATATATATATATATATATATATATATATATATATATATATATATATATATATATATATATATATATATATATATATATATATATATATATATATATATATATATATATATATATATATATATATATATATATATATATATATATATATATATATATATATGTACAAAAGATTATTCTGGATGCGGTACATACATAGAGAGAAGTCTATTTGTTAAAAAAACAGCTATATAGATGTTACCAATGACATTTTGTCAACGTAAATGTACAGAAGATGTTCGTTGTTCATTATTCGATATCCACATGTAATCCCTACATTATAAAAATTTAAGACAAATTATTGAAATACAGTGCAAGCACAAAGCCTTTGGAGCTAATTATCGAGTTTACTCTATAATTTATGTTTGGGCACGTGCCAGAACTACTTAACAATATATTTATTATTCTAATTCAGTGTGTTTTGTTTTGATTAGGAGTAAAGATTATTATTTTTAAATAATTTTAGACAAAAGAAATATTATTTTTCCTAATCTATATGGCTGTCCACAGTTGTTGGTGGGGTGGTGGCTTGTGTTCTGCCTGACAGTCACTACAGGATACAATTCCTCTTTGATGGCTCACCTTACTGTACAAGGCCGGTCCCGGCCAATAGAGTCCTTCGAGGACCTGCTGAACCTGCCAGGCTGGAGGTGGGGAACGATTAGAGGGATATTTTCGGAATCGTTAGCTGAAAACTTTATGAAACATCCAAATCCTGCGTTCAATCAAGTTTACCGCAAAATGGAGGTGGGTTGTGTGGGTGTTCCTAATTACACACATATGATCTCTTCCGAACTTTGCCTCTTCAATAATGTCAGTAAAGTTAATTATAGACTTGTTAACAGCTTGTCTGCTGTGGTTTGTAAGAACACTCCAAGGTTGAATAATCATTATAATTTACCTTCAACACTACAACCAATCATAAATATGTCAAACTGAGAGCCAACTTCATTTAAATATTGCTTATTAGGTCGTACAGGACGACGAGGCGCTGAAGAAGGTGCTGGCGGGGAGATTCTCCTTCATCATCCACAGGATCTTCGTCACCATCAACATAGCAGCACGATACACAGACGCGAGAGGCAACACTCCCTTCTACATGAGCAGGGACATTCCTTTGTTTGTTGGGTCAGGATGGTGCTTTAGGTGAGAGTTCTTCATTGATCACTGGTGAGATTGTCACATTACTGTGTATGTTTATGGGAGATCCTGAGCGGTATGGGTTCGAATCCTGGTCGGCTCATTTAGAGTTCTTAGTGATATATATATATATATATATATATATATATATATATATATATATATATATATATATATATATATATATATATATATATATATATATATACATATATACTGACAAAATAGACTCACATAGAGTGTGAGAGTTAAAAGACAAAAATCAGAAAATACAATTCACGATTTACTATAAAACCAAGAAAACGGCCAACCTACTCATGAAGAATTCTTCAGACACCAAGCTTAACGCCTTAAAGGAAACCAACGTCGTCTATGCCTACAAATGCCCACTTGGGGACTGTAAGCCCCAAAGAACTTAGTATATAGGCAAGACAACAACGTCTCTTTCCAGGCGAATAACAATGCATAAGCAACAGGGCTCCATCAAGGAACATATAATCTCTTCTCACAACCAGTCCATCACCAGAGAAATCTTAACAAACAACACAGAAATCATCGATAGATACAGCGATATCAGGCGGCTCGACATTTACGAGGCACTGCACATCAAAAAGTCAACACCAACAATCAACAGCCAATTAATGCACAACTATATTCTACCCACTTCAAAACTCCGAACCATTATAGAAGCATCAAGAGGAAGTGATGATGCTATGGGCCTGAATAGGCCTTCTGTAGTTACTTCCATTCTTATGTTGTGTAAATGTCAATCACCTCACCCAAACTTTTATATCACCTCACCCAAATGCTAGTATAAGTATGAGTGTATGGATGTGGACAAACATGTTTGCTGCCTCCTGACACTTCTGCATAATGTAGTCCATTTTGTTTTGGGTCCGTCTTTCCCCTGAGCTCTGTTTCCCATATTATATCTGTTAGGAATCTTCTTATCTCCTCATAGTTTCCCTCACGGAATGCCAGCCTTTTGTTTTCAGTACCCCTCCTCGAGTTCAATAACCCTTCTTCAACCAGAAACTCAAATATCACTGTACTGTGGTCGCTCATTCCTACTGGGGCCTCAAAACCGATTTCTCTTATGTCAGAGTCGTTCAGAGTGAAGACTAGGTCGAGTTTCGCTGGTTCATCGTTTCCTCTGATCCTAATGGGTTCCCTGTGATGTTGGCTTAGAAAGTTTCTTGTCGCCACCTCCATTAGTTTGGCTCTCCGTGTATCCTCTCCTCCGTGCGGTTCCTTATTCTCCCAGTCTATCCTTCCGTGTGTGTGTGTGTGTGTGTGTGTGTGTGTGTGTGTGTGTGTGTGTGTGTGTGTGTGTGTGTGTGTGTGTGTGTGTGTGTGTGTGTGTGTGTGTGTGTGTGTGTACTCACCTAGTTGTGTTTGCGGGGGTTGAGCTCTGGCTCTTTGGTCCCGCCTCTCAACCGTCAATCAACAGGTGTACAGATTCCTGAGCCTATTGGGCTCTATCATATCTACACTTGAAACTGTGCATGGAGTCAGCCTCCACCACATCACTTCCTAATGCATTCCATTTGTCAACCACTCTGACACTAAAAAAGTTCTTTCTAATATCTCTGTGGCTCATTTGGGCACTCAGTTTCCACCTGTGTCCCGTTGTGCGTGTGCCCCTTGTGTTAAATAGCCTGTCTTTATCTACCCTATCAATTCCCTTCAGAATCTTGAATGTGGTGATCATGTCCCCCCTAACTCTTCTGTCTTCCAGCGAAGTGAGGTTTAATTCCCGTAGTCTCTCCTCGTAGCTCATACCTCTCAGCTCGGGTACTAGTCTGGTGGCAAACCTTTGAACCTTTTCCAGTTTAGTCCTATCCTTAACTAGATATGGATTCCATGCTGGGGCTGCATACTCCAGGATTAGCCTGACTTATGTGGTATACAAAGTTCTGAATGATTCTTTACACAAGTTTCTGAATGCCGTTCGTATGTTGGCCAGCTTGGCATATGCCGCTGATGTTATCCTCTTGATATGTGCTGCAGGAGACAGGTCTGGCGTGATATCAACCCCCAAGTCTTTTTCTTTCTCTGACTCCTGAAGAATTTCCTTGTATGATGGTACCTTGTATCTGGCCTCCTGCTCCCTACACCTATCTTCATTACATTACATTTGGTTGGGTTAAACTCTAACAACCATTTGTTCGACCATTCCTTCAGCTTGTCTAGGTCTTCTTGAAGCCTCAAACAGTCCTCTTCTGTTTTATTCCTTCTCATAATTTTGTGTGTGTGTGTGTGTGTGTGTGTCTGTGCATGTGTGTGTGTGTGTGTGTGTGTGTGTGTGTGTGTGTGTGTGTGTGTGTGTGTGTGTGTGTGTGTGTGTGTGTGTGTGTGTGTGTGTGTGTGTGTGTGTGTGTGTGTGTGTGTGTGTACTCACCTAATTGTGCTTGCGGGGGTTGAGCTCTGGCTCTTTGGTCCCGCCTCTCAACCGTCAATCAACTAATGTACAGATTCCTGAGCCTAATGGGCTGTCACATCTACATTTGAAACTGTGTATGGAGTCAGCCTCCACCACATCACTTCCTAGTGCATTCCATTTACTAACTACTCTGACACTGAAAAAGTTCTTTCTAATTTCTCTGTGGCTCATTTGGGTACTCATCAACCACCTGTGTCCCCTTGTGCGTGTGCCACCCGTGTTAAATAATCCATCCTTGTCCACCCTGTCAATTCCCCCTGAGAATTTTGTATGTGGTGATCATGTCTCCCCTAACTCTTCTGTCTTCCAGCGATGTGAGGTGCAGATCACCTAGTCTGTCCTCATAACTCATGCCTCTTAGTTCTGGGACTTACCTAGTGGCATACCTCTGAACTTTTTCCAGCTTCGTCTTGTGCTTGACAAGGTACGGGCTCCATGCTGGGGCTGCATATTCAAGAATTGGCCCTACATATGTGGTATACAAGGTTCTGAAGGATTCCTTGCACAGGTTTGTGAAACCAGATCTGATGTTAGCCAGTCTCGCATAGGCCGCTGATGTTATTCTTTTGATGAGGGCTTCGGGAGACAAGTTTGGCGTGATATCAACTCCCAGATCTTTCGCTCGGTCAGTTTCGTTAAGGACTTCATCTCCTATTCGGTATCCAGTGACTGGCCTCCTAGTTCCTCCTTCAAGTTTCATTACCTTACATTTACTTGGATTGAACTTTAGTAGCTATTTGTCGGACCATTACTTCAGTTTGTCTAGGTGATCTTGTAGCCTCGTACTATCCTCCTCTGTCCTGATCCTCCTCATAATTTTTGCATCATCAGTAAACATCGAGAGGAACGAGTCAATTCTTTCTCGGAGATCATTTACGTATATCAGAAACGTTATAAGTCCTAGAACTGATCCCTGTGGGACTCCACTGGTGACTCCCTGACACTCCGAGACCTCAACTGTCCTCACGGTGACTCGCTGTGTCCTGTTGCTTAGATACTCTATTATCCTGTGTAGTACCTTCCCTTTCACTCCTGCCTGCATCTCCAGTTTGTGCACTAGGCTCTTATGTGGTACTGTGTCAAAAGCTTTCTGGCAGTCCAGAAATATGCAGTCTGCCCAGCCCTCTCTCTCATGCCTGATTTTAGTTGCCTGGTCATAGAACTCAATTAATCCTGTTAGGCATGATTTGCCATTTCTGAAACCATGTTGATGTTGTGTTACAAAGTTCTTCTGCTCCAGATGTTCCACTAGCTTTTTTTGCACAATCTTTTCCATCATCTTACATGGAATGCAAGTTAGGGACACTGGCTTGTAGTTCAGTGCCTCCTGCCTATCACCCTTCTCGTATATTGGGACTACATTGGCCGTCTTCTAAATTTTTGGCAGTTCACCCTGTTACCAGTGACTTGTTGTATACCATAGAGAGTGGTAGGCACAGAGCTTCTGCTTCTTTCTTTAGAATCCATGGTGAGATTCCATCCGGGCCTATAGCCTTTGTCACGTCCAAATCTAGCAGATGCTTCCTCACCTCCCCATTAGTAATCACAAACTTCTCTAGAGGTGTCTGGTTCGACGTTCCCTCCCATATATCTGGGACTTCTCCTTGCTCTGAGGTGAAGACTTTCTGAAATTTCTTATTGAGTTCCTCGCCCACTTCCTTGTCGTTTGTAGTGAATCTTTCTGCCACTATCCTCAGTTTCAATACCTGTTCCTTCACTGTTGTTTTCCTCCTGATGTGGCTGTGTAGCAGTTTGGGTTGAGTTTTTGCCTTGCTCGCTATGTCATTTTCATATTGCCTCTCTACCTTTCTTCTCACTCTGACGTATTCATTCCTGGCGCTCTGGTATCTTTCTCTGCTCTCTAGTGTTCTGTTGTTTCTATAGTTTCTCCACGCCCTTTTACTTAGCTGCTTTGCTAGCTTGCAACTTTGAATAAACCATGGGTTTCTCATCACCATTTCATTTTTTTCCTTTTGGACTAGAACGAACTTGTTTGCTGCCTCCTTACACTTCTGTGTGATGTAGTCCATCATGTCTTGAACCGTCTTTCATCTGAGCTCTGTTTTCCAAGCTATTTCAGTTAGGATTTTTTTCATCTCATAGTTTCCCTTCCGGAATGCCGGCCTCTTGCTCTCTGGTCCTTTCCTTGAGTACATTAATCCAGCTTCGACCAGATATTCAAACAACAGTACACAAGGTTTCACTCATACCCACGGGGGCTTCAAGACCGATTTCCCTTGTCTGAATCGCTCAGAGTGAATACTAGGTCGAGTCTTGCTGGTTCATCATTGCCTCTCATTCTCGTGGGACCCTTGACATGCTGTCTTAAAAAGTTTCTAGTCGTCACCTCTAGCAGTTTCGCTTTCCATGTTTCCTCACCTCCATGTGGTTGTCTGTTTTCCCAGTCTATCTTTCCATGATTAAAGTCCCACATGATGAGCAGATGGGATCGATTTCTACAGGCAGCAGCGGCTTCTCTCTCAATGATAATGTTAACTGCCATATTGTTCTGTCATACTCTTGCCTATGTCTTCTTTCATTTGGTGGTGGGTTATATATTAGT